GGACTCTCTGTGTGAGCGCTCAGGTATGGCTGCGGTCTCCGCCGCTTGCGACCCTGCCGCCGCCGCCGCGGCGGCTGCTGGCGAGCGCTCCGATGTGTCTTTTGTCTTGGCTTCCCTCTCTTGTCTAACTCTCTGTCCTGTGATGGCACACTTGGTGTGATTCTCTGGCTTAGGACTGTTCACTGGAACTCTAAAACTGCTTTCTATGTGAGAGCTTGTTCAGATTCCAGCTTCTCCTCCGCCATCTTCCCGGAACCTCCTAATTTCCACTCTTAATTTGATTATCTGGCTCTGTCTAGTAACTTTAGGTTCCATTTTGTCATGATTTTCTAGCTGTTTTAATTGCAACATGAGATTATTTACTTGGTCTGTCTCTATTTTCTTGATGTGGGCACTGAGGGCGATAAATTTGCCCCTCAGGACTGCTTTTGCTGTGTCCCACAAGTTTCTTTGTAATGTGTCTTCATTTTCATTGAATTGTAGGAACTTTTTAATTTCTTCTGTTACCCAGGTGTTGCTTAGAAATGTGCTCCTCAATTTCCATGTATTTGAGTAATTTCTGCGGTATGCTTTGTTATTGAGAACTAGCTTGATTCCAGTGTGGTCTGATAAGATACGGGGATTATGTCAATCCACTTGTATTTGCTTAAGTTCCTTGCATGAACTATGATATGGTTTATTTTGGAGAAAGTTCCATGAACTGCGGAGAAGAATGTGTACTGTATTGTTTTAGGGTGAAATACTCGGTAGATGTCTGTTAGTTTCGCTTGAAGCATGGCCTTACTTAATTCGGTAGCTTCTTTGCCAATCCTCTGGTTGGTAGACCCGTCCTTTGGTGAAAGTGGGGTATTAAATCTTCTAGTATTATAGTATTGGGATCTATTTTATTCTGTAAGTTTGAGAGTATTTGCTTAACATATTTGGGTGCTCCAATGTTTGGGGACTATAAGCTGATAATGGTAATGTCCTCCTCTTGGATTGTTCCCTATATTAATATTCAGTGTCCTTCCTTGTCTTTCTTCTCTATATTAATATTCAGTGTCCTTCCTTGTCTTTTTGCATTGATGTTAATGAAAAGTTTATTTTCTCAGATATCAGGATAGCTACTCCTGCTTTCTTTCTGGGGCATTTGATTGGTAGATCCTTTTCCAACCCTTCACTCTGAGTTTGTTTGTACGTTTGGCCGAGAGGTGAGTCTCCTGAAGGCAACAGATGGATGGGTCATGTTTTCTGATCCAATCTGCAGTTCTTTTTCTTTTGATTGGTAGATTAAGTCCGTTAATATTTAAGAGATATTATAGAGATATGCATTGTGGTCTGTCATTCCCTGTTTTCTTAAGCTTTCCTTTTTTCCTTTCCTCCTGTGCTTACTAAGTTAGACTTCTATTAATACCTGTCTGGTGCATGCCCCTGTTCCTGGTTGCTTTCTTCAGGTTGTGTTCCCCCTCTTAGTATTCTTTATAATGCTGACTTATTGTTTATGAATTCATTTAGTTTTTCTTTGCTATTAAAAATTTTCAATTCTCCATCCAATGTGAATTCTAGCTTTGCTGGGTATATCAGTCTGGGCTGGCAGTTATTGGTCCTCAGGGCTCGGATCATACTTTCCCAGGCCTTTCTTGCATTCAGTGTCTGTGTGGAGAGACCTGCAGTGATTCTAATTTTTTCCATTGTAGTATAGCTCCTTCTTCATTTTTGCTGTATGCAAGATTGTTTCCTTATTATTCAGATCTATCATTTTTTACTATAATGTGTCTAGAAGTGGTTCTCCTGGGATCTTGCTTGTTAGGTGTTCTATATACTTCTGTTATGTAGGTAAGATGTTCTTTTTTGAGATGGGGAAAGTTTTCACTGATTATCTTGTTGAATAGGTGTTGCATTTACCTTGCTGATATTCCTCACCTTCGTCCACTCCAATTATACGAAGGTTAAATTGCTTGGCACTAACCACTTGCTCTTGGATTTCCCTTTGGCATAATTTAAGTGATTTTTCCATAGCAATGCTGTTTTGGTTCAGTTGGTATCTTCTGTCTTCTGTATCTGACACTAAATTTCTTTCGTTCACTCTGTTAACTATGGCTTCCACTGTGGTTTGCATGGAGGAAATGGACTCCTTTATGGATTCGATGTTGGCTCAAAGTACTAATCTCACCTCTTAGTGAAGTGTGTACTGCCTCTATTTTTGTACTAATCTCACCTCTTAGTGAGGTGTGTACTGCCTCTATTTTTGTGTGCACCTCCTGTTTGAGACCTTGCATCTCTTTCAATAGTTTGTCCCTGTGTTATTTAAATTTTTGGTCTATTTCTCACTTTAATTCTTGAGTCATTGCTTCCAGCATCTCTTGGATGTAGGTTTTGTCTTCCATTCCTGCTTTGCTCCCACTCGGCTATCCTCTAGGTGGCTGCTGGATTTTTGGGGGTAGCTTGCTATCCTGGGTGTTTATAAACCTTGTAATTTTTCTCTGTGATTTTCACATAGGGATTCAGGGATTATTGAAGACTAATCTGAAATTTTGTTTTGGTCAATAGGTGTCTGTCTTTGCTTGGTTGCTGTTTCTGGGTTGGCGGAGAGAGTCTGTACCTGGTCTCTTTTCTGTTGGGGGCCGACCGCCAGTTGCTGGTCTGACCCACATAGGGCTCTCGGCTCTCTGCTGTAGATTACTGGCAGTTCCTGCTTTTAGAAGGACTGAGCGGCCTAGACTGCTCCTGTTTACTCCTACAGGTGCTCCTGGCAAGATCAAATGTGCTGAATGTACTCTCCCAGTTGTTGGAGTTTGCTATGGGCTCTTGATGGTTTTTTGTTTGTTTGTTTGTTTGTTTCTGGTTTTCTTGCCCTGGACACCCAGGTCTTTTGCTGTCATGGGCGTGATTCCCAGGCGGTGCAGGACAAGGTGGAGGGAGGACTTGTCCACTTTGGAGAGGTTTGCTGCAAATGACCAGGGCTTTTAGTGGGGAAAATCGTGTAGGGCAGAGCACACACCTATTCTAGAGGTGGCCAATAAAGAACTGGCATGGTACAGATCAAGGGCTCCACCATAAGGGAATCTTGGCCCAACCTTTGAGCCCAGGGAAGTGGCTGACAGGTGCTTAGGCTTTTTTCTTGCCCACATGACTCAGGTGAAGGGGCCAAGGTTCTGGGAAGGAGGGAGCCCCATCAATGGACGCAGGGTGAGGGGAGAGAGAAAAACTCAGTCATTCTGCTCACATGACACCTGAGGTATAAGAATGGGGTGGCCACAAGGGACTTGTGCCTTCTGACCAGACAATAGGCCTGCAGATGAGCAGAGCCTATTGGGAGTCAGGCTGCATGGGGGAGGCCCTCACCTGTCGCCCCCACTGTGGAGGAAGGGGGTGGAAATGACCACAAGACACTTGAGAGTGGACAAGCAGGAGCAGCAGCAGAGGGAGAGGAGCACCTCACAGAAGGCCAGGCTGCAGCTTGCCTGGAGAAACCTCAGAGGTCCAGGACTGGCCTCTGGTTGGTGCTTCCTGCCTTCTGGTGGCATGAGCTAAACGCACGGTGCACGGTGACCGAGCAGCTAAATACAGTCACTTTCTGAAGGACCTCAAACTCAGACCCAAACTTGTCACCTCCCCGCCCTCAGGCCCAGGGGGACGATTGATGGAAGCCCATCAGACAGTCACAGACTCACTTGCACGCGCATGATGCCGCACAGGCCTGTTGTGCTCAGGGGAAAGGCACAGAGCTTCCATGGGCTAGCTGACTGGCGTTAGCCCCCTCCCGGCCTTTGTCTCTGGTCCTGCTGCTCCAACCTGAAGGGGCTCCTGGCCCCCAGTAGATCACATGAGCGAAGTCCGGCCCATCCACATGCCCAGACATGCTTCAATTGGTAGGATGGGGTTGGAGACCTGTTGGCCAGCAGGGTCAGCTGTACCGGGGTCAAACACCCCTGAACCCTAAACCCCACAAGGAGCGACCGGCAGGAGCGGCAAATCTCACACCCAGGCTGCTCGGGTTTGCCAACCCGGGGTTATAATGGAGACCTCTGACCTGTCTGAGGCCCCGAGTACTCCCTTTCCCCTTCCTCTCATTGTGCTGCCAGGGACCGTGGGGCCTCCATCTTCCCTACTGTCTCACAAACCTACTTCTTCCACACCCCACCTTCTCCCTGAGGGCTCTCTATGTTGTGGTAAGCTAGAAAGCCACTTCTGCCAAGGCGCCCCAAATCCCGTTGCCTGGGTCTACCCACCCAGTGGCTCCCAGCAGCTCGCGCTCGCAAATCCTATCCTGCATATCCGCGGACGTTAGCCCGGAAGCCAGGTTTCCATTCCAGCAGAGAGAAGCCTCGGCAGGGACCCGGTCAAAACTTTCCTGAATACAAACTTCTTGCAGAAACTACTGGAAAGGGGTTCCACCAGGTACTCTAAAACCTTGATCAACTTACACCCAGGGCCACCCGAATACTCAGGGAAGCCAGGCAGCTGCCAGCCCTGAAGAGCACCAGCATGCTGTGGCCTAGCCGACTGCCGCTCACCGAGTGGATCGCACAGCCCCTTGCAGATGAGGTCCCCAACATCCTGAAGATCACCCCAGAACCCAGTACTCCCCCAACCCCCACGTTCACATCCCAGCAGAGAGGAGACTTGACAGCAACACACACAAACACACTTTATTGAACACGCTTCAAAGAGCTGCAGACCTCCCGCTAGGATTTCCTTTCCCGAGACCCCCGAGATCAGCCCCGAGAGCTCAGGAGGGTGGCCTTCTGCAATGCCCATCCATCGCTTCCGAAGACCCTCTGCGGAGAGCAACCACCATGCGGTGGCCCTGCCCCAGAGCAGCCGGACACAGGGCAGTGCCCGGCACGGTGAAGCCAAGAGGGAAACATCTTATCTAGACAAGTAATGGCAACTGAATGAACAGAACAAAGAGAAGCAGAACACCAAAACATCGTATTCACAACACCCCCCGGGTCCAGTTCTTCTCATCCAGTGTCAGAAGTCCTGGTGAGGGGGTGAGCATCAAACCACTCGCTCACTCGTCATCGTCGTCTTCATCGTCCACTCTTTTCTGCTGGCACCTGGCCTTGGGCTGGAGAACCAGCGGCAGGCATCCGGGCTAAATCTACAGCGAGAAAGCAGAGGTTGGATTCCCAGCCGCAGCCAGGAGAGCAAGCAAGAGCTCTGGCTGGCATGGGGAGCTGCGCACACGTGCCCTACACAGGGAGGTGGCTGACCCGGTGGGCCGGGACCTCCCCTCGGGGCTGGACACTGGTGGCCTCTCCACCCGAACACCTCCCAGTCTGGTCTTCAGGCACCCCTGATCGTGGTCGGACCTGGTCCTTCACTGGGGTGTCCAGGCTGGCTGCCTGACCGGGTGGGGGTTTGGGGCTCAGTGGGGGGGGGGTGAGGCGGCCCTCCCTGCCCACCTGCGTGGCCAACGTGGCCATCAGGCTGTGGGGAAGGGTCCCTGGTTTGGGCCTTTTCCCCGGCCTCGCCTCCCAGGCTCCCTGGTGCTGCCACCTGAGAAGAGGATTCGTGGTGACTGACCTGCCCGAGCTCCTCGTCGTAGTCATCGTCCTCCTCCTCGGACTCGAGGATGTTCTCCACGATGTCCTCGAGCTCCCCCAGATGATACTGCTGGGACTCCTCAGCCTCCTGCTCTGCTGCCCGGAGGAGGCTCTGTGGCTCCCAGCCAGGCCCTCCCGGGCCCTCCCCACAAGCAAGGCCCATGTGGGCCAGGCTGGGGGCGCCAGGAGCCTCGGTGGATGCTGCCTGGCTCAGGCCTGCAGGCACAGCGGCATCTTCTCGGTCGCGAGCGGTGGCCTCTCCGGCAGTCTGGTCAGGGTCAGGCTCCGCAGCAGCTCCGTCTCCGTGGGCACACAAGGCGGCCCCGCGGGCACCGTCGCTGCCTGCGGGGCCCTGGGGGGCCCCTTCAGCGGCCAGGGCGGACTCGGCAGCAGCAGCTCCGTGGGCGCACACAGCCTGGGCGACAGCCAGACCACCGCTCTGCCCCCTGGCTCCTACCTCTCCGTGGGCCCGCTCATTCCTAGCCAGGCCCGCCTCCCACGCCTCGGTCTCCCGCACTAGCCGCAGCAGCCCCACAAACCCCGGGGGCCTCCGCTCCAGCCTCAACCTCCTCAGGTTGTTCTGGAGCACGCGGTTGGGCCGGGCTCGCATCAGCACCTGGCGGGCTCGCACCTGGTCGGCGACCGCTGGGTGGATGGCCCCCTTCTCCATGGCCATCTGCAGCAGGCCTTCCAGGCGCATCACGTAGGCAAACAGAGTCTCACGCGGCCGCTGGGAGCACGTCAGGAACTTCAGCCTCGCGGTCATCCGGGTGTCCTTGTTCCCAAACACCTGCACGAGCGCGCCCAGGCAGTCCTGCGCGGGGGTGTCGGGGTGCTCCTCCAGGAGCCCGCACAGGAGATCCAGGGCGGGCCCGCCCAAGCTCTCCACCAGCCGCCGCCTCCGCTCCCGCTCAGAGATGTAGCGCCACAGGTACAGCATGTCGTTGGCGTGGTCCAGCCAGCTCTCGAAGGACTCTTCCCCACAGCCTGGCTCTTCCCGCCCGGAGAACGGTCTCAGTTCCTGGTAGGCCATGTTTTCCAGGATCGGCTGCAGGGCCTGGCTCCACTGCTGGGCCCAGGCGCCGGACCCATCGGTCCCTCGGGCTGCGTCGAAGGCGCCTTCCTCGCCCGGCACGCCCGCCTCGCCCGCTGCACCCGCCACACTCACGACCCCCATCACCCCTGCGAAGCCCATGTCGCCCCCAGCGCCCTCCTCATCGGACACTCTGGCCGCATCCGCCGCTCCGGGGGCCCCCGCGCCCCCCGCTGCGCCCACGCCCCCTGCTTCTCCCTCAGCACCTTCGGCTCCAGAGATGCCCGCTCCTTCTTCCTCACCGGAAGCCCCTTCCTCACCGGAGAGCTCTGCCACAGGGGGGGTTCCTTTCTCATCTAACGCTTCCTCCTCGGCCGCCTCTTCTGCCTCACCCAGAACTCCAGCCTCCGCCCCAGCCTCGGCTGGGGCTCCTCCTTCACCGGCAGCTGCTCCCTCGCCCGGATCTTCTGCCTCGCCTCCCAAGCCTTCCTGCAGCGCGTCACTGTCGCTGTCGCTGCTGTCCTCCTCCAAAGCCCAGGGTGCCCGGCCAGGGCGTTTCCCCGCACCCACCACTCTGCTGGCCCACGAGACGCCCTCACTGCCATCTCTCTCCTCGCTCCCAGCCCCGCCCTCTGCACCCACGGCCACCCCCTCGCCTTCACCAGCTCCTCCCCGGACCCCGGGGCCTCCCTCGCCTCCTTCCTCCTCTCCGCTCTCTTGGCTCTCAGGCCCGGATCCCGCCTCCTCCCCCGATCCTCCTTCACTCCCAGAGCCTTCCTCATCCGCAGAGCCTTCCTCGCCCCCGGAGGCCCCACAGCGGCCATCTCCTTCATCCTCCTCACCACGGACGCCTTTCCTGGCCCCAGCTCCTCGTCCCACAACCTGGGGAGCTTTCTGGCCTTCGGTTCTCTCCCCGCCTGCCGCCCCTTCCTCGCCCCCACCACCGGCCTTGCCCCCTGCTCCTTCACCGGGCTCTGCTTCCGGGCCTCCAGCTCCGTCCTCACTCCCAGATTCTTCTCCGTCCCCATCTCCCTCCTCGCCCTCGCCTCCAGTTTCTTCGCCCGCGGTCCCCATCCCTTCCTCGTCCCCAGACCTTTCCTCCCCGCCACCCGTTTCCTCAACTTCGCTTCCGTCGTCCTCCTCAGATCCTTCCTCGCCTCCACTGCCGTCCTCCTCCCCGGATCCTCCCTCACTGCCGTCCTCCTCGCCGGACCCGTCCTCGCCTCCATCGCCGCTCCCGTCCTCCTCCCGGGATCCTCCCTCACCTTCACCGCTTCCGTCCTCCTCCCCGGACCCGTCCTCGCCTTCCTCGCTTCTGTCCTCCTCTCCGGACCCGTCCTCGCTCCCACCTCCTTCCTCACCGTCCTCCTCGCCGCCAGCTCCATCTCGGCCTGCGGCTCCGTCCTCACTCCAAGACGACGTCTCCTCACTCCCGGATCCTTCCTCATCTCCATCTCCTTTCTCGTCCCCGGTCCCTTCCTGGCCCTCAGCTCCTCCTTTGCCCTTAGCAGCTTCCTTTCCCCCTGGTCCCTCCTTGTCTCCATCTTGGGCCTCAGCTTCAGCCCCTTCCTCACCTCCCGCACCTGCCGCCGCCACCATCGCTGCCGCCGCCGTGCCTTCTGGTCCCTTCTCGGATGCCACTCTCTCCTCATCCCCAGCTCCCTTCTCTGCTCCAAACTCCTTAAGCCCCCCAGCTACTTCCTCCCCCGCGGCTCCTTTCTCATCCCCGGCTCCTTGCCCCCCAGCGGCGACCCCCCCCACGGGACCGCCTGCCACGCGGGCCATTCCTTTGTCGCCTAAGGGGACCCAGCCCACGTCTCCCGCCTCCTCAGACGCGCCTTCCTCACCCACTACCGCCGCCGCCCCAGATGCCCCGTGCCCCTCGGGCAATGCGCCACCGGGGCTGTCCTGGGCCTCGGCCTCCCGGGCGTGCGGCAGGAAGGCCACAGGCCACAGAGCCCCGCTGCCTGCTATGGCTTGGGGGATCAGATTTCGGTTTAAACGCTCAGCAAACTCCACCAAAGCCACCCTGGTGCCCAGCTCCTTTCTGAAGGCCCTGCAGAGCACCCGGTAGCTGCCCAGAGGCTGCAGGGAAGCCTGCACCGCCTCCTCGAATTCACCCTCCTGGCACTCCTCGGGAATGTCCAGGATGAGCAGCGAGCGCCGGGTGTCGGCGCCCACCGACTGGCACCACTCCTTCAGCATCTCCAGCACCTTAGCAGTGGGCGTGGGGGGCGGAGGCATGGTGGGAGGGGGGCGGGAGCTCACTGTGCGGGTCTCTCGGGTGCCCTGGGGGTGCAAAGGGGAGGAAGGCCTGGTTGGAGCCAGACAGCTCAGAACCAGCCCCTGCCACCCTTCTCCAAGCCCATCGCCACGAGCTCCTGCTCCCCTGTCTCGGCTGGCTGCTTCTGCTTTGCAGGAAGCTTTCTCATAGCGAGGTAAAGCTGCTGACGAGATACGGGGCTAGCTGCACTCGGTTCTATCCAGTGGCAGTTGGCTTCGTGGTGACCCCTCTGCACCCACCCTCAAGAAATGCGCCAGCTCCTACATTTTCAAAAGCGTTGCTCTCTCTTCAGGGTGTGTCTGACCTGCAACCAGGTCCCCGCTCATTCCTGATATGCTACTGCCACTCACTGCTTGCCCTCTCTGGTCTCACTATCCGTGGTGTTGCAAACCTTGTACCCTCTGCAAAGAACCGACTTCCCCTTCTGCACAGACTCCTACGGAGGATGGAACCCAAAGCCTCATGCTGGTTACGCTTACTTGCTCACTGGTCCACCGCGCTTCTGACTTCTGCTGGGGAACTGCGGACCGGGTGTCTCACAAACGGCTGCCCGGCGAGGCCCGGGCAGCTGGGAGCGGGTTGGTGCCTGGGTCAAGTTGGAAACCGCCTGCCAAGTTCTCCTGACGCTTTCCTCTTTGACCTGTGGGATGGCAAATACGTACACCTGTTATCCTTCTTCATTTCAAGGGCAATTTCACGCCGACCCTCTCTAGGGTCGAGTAGAAATGCCATGCGCTTACATTTCAGGCAAACATTTTCAGCCCCAAAAGTTGCCCAGGTGTTTGTGGGCTGAAGCTAGGCTCCAGCCTCTTCAGCTGCTACCGGTGCCATGGTCACTGGAAGTGAGTACGCAGGGACAATGCCCACTGCCTCACTTTCCTCTACGTACACGCCTTCCCTGCAGCACTTCAGGAACAGTAGCTGGAGGTGCAAGCAGCCACAGGACATGGTCATCTCCTCTTCTGCCGACCGGACCAGGTGGACCAGCCAGGCATTGAAGGCCTCACCCCCCAACTAAGTAGCAAGGCCTACCCTCCCATCTCACCTCTAGGCGCCCCCCCTCCCCGCCTTCTTGCTGAAGGGCCTGGCGGTGCCCTGCCCACTGGGTGGACTGGGTCTCTGCCTGAGACTCCAGTCACAGGAGGTGCCCAGCCTCGTGGAACGGTAAGCTTCAAGGACACTGGATGAGCCTGGGGTGCAAAGACTTTGGACAACCTTGGCCTTCCTGGCTCTGCCCAGCTCACCAGCCAGGAAGCCTTTCCCTGTGGCCAGCTCAGAGTCTGCCTATTGCTGTCCCTCCTTTCCACATCCGTGACGTGAGCCTCTCCAAAGTAGTCCTTCCTGTTGGCTTGTCAAGGCCCCCATCACTTAAGGAGGTGGGCTTCCCGTCAGAGTCCCCGTCCCAAGGGGCGTCTGGTCCGAGGCCTCCCCTTGCTGACTCCATGCCCCTAGGCACTGGAAGAATCCTAGTAGACCCGAAGGCCGTGCTCCCCGAAGTAGTGAGGGAGGGGCTGCAGGTGTGGAGACCTTACTTGTGGGGGTCCAATGTCGCCCAAGTACAACCCACTTGCCCTGACGCTAAACCCTGTTTCGGCCCTGCTCCCCTCACCCAACCCCCAGATCATATACCAGGCTCTGCATGGCCTGCAAACTTCCTCACCGACTGAGACCCAGGCTGCGCGCGGCCTACAAACCTCACGGCCTGAGCTCCTCATGACCTGAGACCCAGGATCCGTGATTCCCACAAACCTCCTCAAACCCCAACCCCCAGGCTCCAAGGCCGGAAAACCTCTTCAAATTTTTGAGCCCGGCCTCCAAAAGGCCCGCTAACCGCTGCGGCTCTACTCCCGCGCTGCGGAGCATCCATTGCCATAGGCCGACTGGCCGTCACGGGCCCCGGTAGCCCCACCTCCCGCCCCGGCCCGGCCTTGGCCGCGGCCTCACGCGGCTGCCCAGCCTGGGCTCTGCGGCTCCCACCCCGCACTAGGCCCCGGGCCGG